GTGTCCATATTTGCAACATTTAAAGCACCGAATTATGCTAAAATCTTTTGAAATCTTGCATGAACTCCATCCAACAAATAATCTGTCATTTTCAATAATTGTTTTATATGATTCTTCATCTATTTCTACAATTAAATTAAATGACTGATTAAATAACTTGGACTTACGTATAATTTTTACTTCAGCTTTATCTTCAATTAATTTGTTTTGTTTAATAATTTTTGAAATAATACTTTGATCATCCAGTTTATACTCCCTTTCATTAACATAATGTGCCTTAATTCTATTTCTTCTCAATGTTGGTTTAACTATTTCATATTCCTCTCCCATTTTCTGCTGCAATTGTGTTTGTATGTCTTCAACATTCTTATTCTTATCACAGTTTAACACCAGTCCACCATTCTTTACTTTTCTACCCATTGAAATCCCAGTATTCATTTCTGCTGGTTGTATTTTTGTTAGTAGATCTTCCTTTGTTTTTGTTATGTTATGTGATGTGTTTTTTGGCTTGACAATTAACACATTGGATTTTATATTACCTTTTTGGGTAACACTTGCATATGTGGAAATAGATTCTTGGTCTTGTTTATATATATTTATTGTGATTTGTTCAATTTGGTTTTTGATGGTTGCATTTTCTTTTTTTATTTCCTCCACTTCTTTATTTAACTTTACCGTTTGTATTTCTTGCATCTCCAATCTTTTGAGTATATTTTGTTCCATAGATATAAGTTGTTTCATGATATCTTTTAAGGTTATTTGAGAATTGTTTTCCTCCTCTTCTTCTTCGCTACTTGACATAACCTCATTCTTGCACGAGGTACATTTCCAGTTTGTTCCTTTTGTATTTAGTTTACTAATTTCTTCTTTTGTTAATCCAGTGCATACATCATGGAACCATGATTCACATTCACCGGCACATTTAAGTTTATAGCCACTTTTACCAATATTTGCTTTACATTTAGGACACAGCATTTTGACCTTGCCATCCATGTAACGCGCGAAATATATAATCAATTTAATTTAAATCTATTTATTTCATTGCCTTTCTCAACGTTATTTTAAAAATATATGTATTATACAATTGTTATACACCTTTTAATTTAATGAGAAACACCAATGACGCCAAAACATATTTGAATCCCTTTGAATTATTATCGTTTTGAATGATTCTACAACATTTTTTCTCTCAGTGTAGGTGGCGGTACTGTCATAAAACAGTACAACAGTACAACTGTCAGTGTTTTATTGAATGAATTAAAAAAAACATTTTGCTAATATTTGAGAAAGTGTTTAGTCAATCAGTGTTGGTCATTTACTTATATCACGTCCGTGGATCTATAAAAAGGTATATAGACAATATATCCACGGATTTAGTTATATTTTTACAAAGCCTAATAGCAAAGTTTCTATTTTCCATTTTAGGTTTCGATTGAAAAAATTAAGAAACTTAGTAACTGAGAGTTGGAGAAAAGAAGAGAAACAAAGAAACTGAGTATGCGAAGAGCAAGAGAGAAGTTATAACTTTTATATATAAAATAACCCTGTTCGCTATGCCGAAGAGAAAAAAAAAGAAATAGAACGAAAGGAAAAAAGCCTACGTCCTATTTATGAGTGGAGAGAACGAGATTAGAGAAAAATGCAAAAAAATGGGTAAAAAGTTGTAAGCGGTATAGGGACAGAATAAGTGCTGCCAAAAGAGATGCAGAATTTGAAAATAACTTTTTGGAGTTAATAGCTCTACCTGAAAGTCCTCAAATGGTTTGGCAACATTTACCAGTTGGAGCTAGAAATAGTACTCCTCAGGAAAGAGGGAAAAAACCAAAAATAATAAAACATAAAATTAAAGATTTGGAGAAAGTAGTTGATCCTCTTAAAAAAATCTGTAAACAAATACAAAAAATAAATAAACAGATCAAATCAGCGTAACCTTACATCATCTCAAAGACAAAATTCTAAAGTCACAAAAATGTTGAGTATCTACGCAGTTGCGGTATTTCAGCAGGACAGAGCATATACAGGGTGTCCCGAAAATAGTGTGTAATGCTCTACACGTTGTTTCTAAAGAAATCTTTGTATGAACATAGTTCGGCAAATTGCCTCTAAGGGACTTAGAGCCTCTTATAGGGGGTCCCTAAAGATGTTGTATTATTATTTCTATAACGGTTTAAAATAATAGTACATTATGTCATAAGGAGTAGAAGTGGCTCTTTTTGTGGTGAGTACAGAGATTGACGGCCGAAGCGTAGCTGAGGCATGCAACTGTACGAAGCACAAAAAGAGCTTCTACTCCAAATAACATATACAATTTTTTTTTCATAAGGATAAGCAATAGAATTATTTTATTTACTTATAACTCATGTGGTATAAAATTTTGGCTAACAGCATTACAAATTATTGATAAAAACTAAAAAAAACTTATAACCCTTACTTACAATGCCGATAAATATCCTAAACTAAAAATAAACACTGATCTGTCAAAATGCTGCGCTTGAATTAATTTTGACGTACTGACATTTGTTTGGAGTTCCGACATTGGCGACTCGTCTATCATCATAATATTATACTAATAAACTAGTTGTTCTTTATTTCGTTCAATTAAAATTTAATAAATAATCACTAAATATTCCGTGCGATTATAATTAATATAATTAATACATCGTGATTGCTTTGTATGAAATGCTAAATTAATTTTATTATTTGACGTCTATTGAGTCACCTATGGATTTACTTCTATCCCTAGGCTTTTTTGAGTTTTTTGTCTGCCGCTAATGAAAAAGACGTACTTCAACTATCTCTATACATGCATATAAGGTTGTATATCATGGCCGCTTGAAAAAAATAGTAGATTATGTTATAAGGAGTAGAAGTGACTCTTTTTGTGGTGAGTACATAGATTGACGGCCGAAGCGTAGCTGAGGCAGGCAACTGTACGAAGCACAAAAAGAGCTTCTACTCCAAATAACATATACAATTTTTTTTTCAAGGGCATAATATAAATAGGATAAGCAATAGAATTATTTTTTTACTCATAACTCGTGTGGGATAAAATTTTGGCTAAAAGCATTAGAAATTATTGATAAAAACTAAAAAAACTAATACACCTTACTTACAATGCCGATAAATATCCGAAATTAAAACTAAACACTGCTCTGTCAAAATGCTGCGCTTGAATTAATTTTGACGTACTGACATTTGTTTGAAGTTTCGACATTGGCGACTCGTCTATCATCATAATATACTAATAAACTAGTTTTTCTTTATTTCGTTCAATTAAAATTTAATAAATAATCACTAAATATTCCGTGCGATTATAATTAATATAATTAATACATCGTGATTGCTTTGTATGAAATGCTAAATTAATTTTATTATTTGACGTTTATTGAGTCACCTATGGATTTACTTCTATCCCTAGGCTTTTTTGAGTTTTTTGTCTGCCGCTAATGAAAAAGACGCACTTCAACTATCTCTATACATGCATATAAGGTTGTATATCATGGCCGCTTGAAAAAAAAATAATTTTTTTTTCAAGCGGCCATGATATACAACCTTATATGCATGTATAGAGATAGTTGAAGTGCGTCTTTTTCATTAGCGGCAGACAAAAAACTCAAAAAAGCCTAGGGATAGAAGTAAATCCATAGGTGACTCAATAAACGTCAAATAATAAAATTAATTTAGCATTTCATACAAAGCAATCACGATGTATTAATTATATTAATTATAATCGCACGGAATATTTAGTGATTATTTATTAAATTTTAATTGAACGAAATAAAGAAAAACTAGTTTATTAGTATAATATTATGATGATAGACGAGTCGCCAATGTCGAAACTTCAAACAAATGTCAGTACGTCAAAATTAATTCAAGCGCAGCATTTTGACAGAGCAGTGTTTAGTATTAGTTTCGGATATTTATCGGCATTGTAAGTAAGGTTTATTAGTTTTTTTAGTTTTTATCAATATTCTAATGCTTTTAGCCAAAATTTTATCCCACACGAGTTATGAGTAAATAAAATAATTCTATTGCTTATCCTATTTATATTATGCCCTTGAAAAAAAAATTGTATATGTTATTTGGAGTAGAAGCTCTTTTTGTGCTTCGTACAGTTGCCTGCCTCAGCTACGCTTCGGCCGTCAATCTATGTACTCACCACAAAAAGAGTCACTTCTACTCCTTATAACATAATCTACTATATTTTTGGGAAAGGTATTATTTTATTAATATTTTTTCTTAAATATATATATTTATCAATTTAATATATTAAATTGAAAAGTTATTTTATTTTTATTCCAAAATGGTGAATTTTATTGATGTTCAACATGAGTATCTTTTTATGTAGAAAATTCTAAATTTTTATTATCTTTAGCCAACATTGCACATAAAAAATTGTGGCTAAAACACCCTAAAAATACCCCTGGTTAATACACCAATAAATAAATAAAAGAAAAATGTTGTTAATTTCAAATTGAGCATAAAAAGTTAATAAGGAATACATTTTTTATTACTTTATCTCAAAATATTTTGAAAATAATAATAAAAACCCCATTAAGAGACTGTATTTTCCTTGGGGGCCATTTGCCGACCGATATTTATAAGAAGATTCCTTCCTATATTTAGAAATTGAAATTTTTTTGCACAAATGCATTGCAATGGAAAGATCAGGTTTTATTTAGTCTAAGATGGCATTTTAAAAATTATTTTACTTTTTAAACACCTATTAGACTTGGTACAAACGCGTTTTGTTGAATTTCTTAATTCGACTTAAAATGTAGGTGCCTACTTTCTTTTTCAGGACACCAGAATTTACGTGTGATTATTTTTCACAACTTTTGAGGCGGATTATTATCTCATCTATGGATCGATGAACTTAAAATTTTTTATGGTGATAAAGCACCATCCCAAGATACTGTCCACTGGAGGACGAATTTCCCCCAAGTCCTCCAAAATTGGTTAACTAATATTGCAATATCGTCAAATCTATTTTTACTTACATATTACGCCTTTTTCTAGCTTGAGCTAGATTACCCCAACTCTCCTTAAGCAAGAAGGTTCTAGCTCCGGCTGCTATAGTTAATGTATAGTTTTTCCAGTTTAAATTTTTTATATCAAATGGGAAGGCTCTCTTATCACTGTCATTCAAAGATTCCCACAACTCTCTTGTGTTATCATCAGTGTGCGACCAATCTCTACACGATACAAATTTGGTTGCCAACATAAATTTTTCAATTTTTTCGTAACTTTTCATCATACTAATTTTACTTCCATAGATTTTTAACACTATATCCATTAACACTGCTGGTAATGTGTGCAAAAAGAACGACAAAAATTTGAACATAAACACATGCTTAGTCAGCATAAGGGAAAAATACCATATAGCTCTCATAGGAAACACATCCCCGCAGTCTTTTTTATTCCAATCCATAAACTCTCCCCACGTAACCTTATTTTGTCTTCCAGATACAAAGTTATACACCTTAGGCTCACTTTCGACTTTTTGCTGGGCTGTTTTGTAAGCTGCAGTGATCATACCGTTAGTTACGTAGTCTGCGGGTACCATTTCGGCACCCACTTTTTCGTCGGCGCAGTATACTCTTAATAAACCGCACCCAGTGCCCGCCAAGGCTCCTATAGGTCCAAACATGTTGTCAATCCAACCTATGTGCGGTTCTTGGTATGTCGAAACAACTGAAATTATAAAATTATGTGTTTAGAACGATACAAAATTAACTGTAAGGAAGTAGCTATAGCTACTATAGCTACTATAGATATGTAAATTTACAGTTTAAGTTCCTATACTTAGGTGGATGGGTATCAAACTATTGGAAATTTTATAATTTTTACCAAATTAACAAAATTTTAAAATGCAAAAAAAATTAAATATTATATTTTAAAGTTTTAATTATTGAACTTTCAAATCACTTAAAACCATTCTCATTTAGTCTGTTAATTTACATTGTAACCTATCTAAAAATGTTAACTTAAGATAAGTATAACATTTTAAAGATTTTTAAAATGTTATAATCAGCTTATATTGACGAAAACTGATATCGCAACTTCAAATGAGTGGCAATTACGTTAAAATAACTAAAATCTACCACAATACAGTTAAAATATCTTCATATTATAGTTGTAATAATGTGATTTGCACCAGAAGAATATACTTCATAGTTTTAAAACTTTTTGGTATATCAGTAGACCTAGTATCTGAAACGTTCTCTCTAAAAATGAATAAGTCAAAAATTAATAATTTAATAGTTATAAGTGGCTGCTTTTTCACTTGTACCATGGTTAACCATGGAATACCATGGTATCCCAAAATACCCGAAAATACCATCAAAAATTATGAAAGTGGAGCGGTTTTTGAGATATAGTCAATTCCATATTAATGAAAAATTTACCATATCTCAAAAATTGTTTTACTTTTTTAACTTTTCGATATTTTTGGATTCAGGGGACAATTTTACATAAGAATTAGCTGTTAAATTTTGGGATACCATGGTTCTCCATGGTTAACCATGGTACAAGTGAAAAAGTAGCCACCAATAACTATTAATTTAGTCATTTTTGACTAATTCATTTTTAGACAGTTATGACCACTTTTGACACCACCTTAAAGTTGTCTAAACTTTAGTAGATTATGAATAGTAACGGCAACCAAATCACACCACTTAAGTATTACTTAAAGGTGTTAGTAGTAGTAAAGTTTTCGGAACTTTTCCCAAACCTTGAATGTGGCAAAACTGGATTATATAATTGCGGTGGTCATTGTCACGTTCTTGCTACATGCTTAAGTAATTTACACGTTTGGAATAGGATCACCACTTTAAAGTTTCCTTCTTCAAAACATGTTTACAAATAGTCGCCATTGTAGGAAAATAAATGTGTAGTTTAAGTGCTCATTCATAATGGACGTAACCATAAGGTGTCCGTAAGAAATACGCAAAACGTAAAGTTGAATATTAACAAAACCGGTGTACCTGTTTATAATGAGTAGCCGTAATTTTTACGTTTTAGGTTCGAACATAAGATCTTATGTGTGAATTTTAGTAATTTTCATTATTTCACTAGAACATTGTTGGTAGCAATCAGGGTGATAGCCATGCAAACAGATGAAAGATGTTTTTTAAGTGTATTCTGGTGTATCTAAAGAACCATTCCTCATCGTGAAGTTTTAGTTCGAGTATTATTCGACGAAATTCGCCCTATTTTTCTCTGTCCCTATTCACTGGTCTTACACTCCACCGACGAGGTTTCCGTTGCTTCATTTCGGTTGTGGGCAAACTCTCTTTACCAACAAAAGGAGAAGTAATTCTACGTATATATCGCTCATTGGACTAAGGTTATGATAACACCATTGAGTGATAACACTATTAGTTTTAAGACAAAAGCTGTCAATGCTGTCATTTAAGTGAACTTGGACATGCGCGCCTTAATAATATTATAAACACAGCTCATCGTTACGTACAAATTATGGTGTTATTATGTTTCCGTTTTATGGATATCTTATGGACATCTTATGCAGGGCCGGATTAAGGTCTCGTGGCGCCCGGGGCCAAAAGTTTTCATGCGCCCCCCAATTTTTTAAAAGCCCCACATTTTTTTCGTCCTCGAAAATTTTGAAAAAAATTGTATAAAAAATAAATAAAATGAAAAAAAAAAAAACCAAAGCGTGATTTAATTTTTAATAAACTTTTTTTCGTAGTTTACAGCTTATAAAATTTGAAATTATTATTTCCTCATGATGCATCTAAGGAATCCACCAATGTATTTTCTATACACAAAAGTGACAAATTACTGGTTTTTAAATTACCCATGCAGTTTCTTAAATAATTTTTAATTCTTCCTACAACCGAAAACGACCTTTCTCCACTAACGTTGGTTACTGGTATGGTTAAAAATATTTTCAAAGCTGTATCGATATTTGAATAAGTAGAAATAATTTTTGTTGTCTTATTAATTTTAACATATCAGCCATTTTCATGTGTTCTGTATTAGATTTTTTTGTCTCAAGCTTTTTATAAAATATTTGAAATGTATACATTCTTCTGGAAAATCTTCGTCCAAGTCTGTTGAATATATATACAATAGTTCTTTAGCTTTTGTTAATATTACATTATCAGGGATGTCGCATAATAAATTAAAAAATCCAAAAAGATTAAATACATGTTCATAGGCATTCTTTCTTCGATTTAATTCAAATAAAAGATTATCCAAAATAACATAAAATGTATTGACTTTCATATCTTGTTTCCCACTAAAAGTTACCTCATCTGCGCTTTCCTCATCTATTGTTTTTTTTCTAAATCGCTTTCTTTTTACTTCTTTCTCATATTCTTCACAACTTGAAATCTCCTTTCCAATTTTTTCAAATTCATCATATTTAGTATCGTTTCTTAGTTCAGTTATAAAAACTATCAATGAATTATACAAACCTATTACAACTGATAAATCTATATGTTGTTCCTGTAAGCTTTTGTTTACAGAATTAAAATGATTTAAAATCTTATGTCACAAAACTAATAATAATCCAGTTTCTAGTTTATTCATAATATCACTAAGGCCACTGGCTTGAGCTCTAACAGTGGGAGTTTGATTGTTATCATTTATTAGTAATTCGAGAGCGTGTTGATAGCTTTCATAGGATTTGTAGAGCTTTAGTGGCGTCTGCTCTAGCTGACCATCGAGTTGTACTTAATTTTTTGGGAACTAAATTTTTATTAGATTCTTTTAAAGCATCTATTAAAATGTTCCACCTAAAAGTGGAAGCTGAAAAAAATACGTACAAATCGTTTAAAAACATAAAAAATTTGGTGGCATTTAAACAACTTTTCGCTGCACAGGAACCAATTAGATTTAGTGAATGAGCGGCACATGGGATATATACAGCTTTTTTATTTTGATTTTTAATTCTTGCTTAAAGGCCCGAATATTATCCGGACATATTGGAGGCATTGTCGTAAGCTTGACCCAAACAGTCTGTTATATTTAGAGAAAGTTCGTTTAATGTTTGTAAAATAGCAGTTTCCATTTCTGAAGACTTATGTCCAACCTTACTTACAAACTTTATAAATCGTTCAACTATCGATCCATCAGGTAATACATAACGTAAAATAAAACTCAACTGATCTATATTAGAAACATCCGGGGTAGAATCTACAATAATTGAATAATATTTAGCATGCTTTACTTCCTCAATAATTTTTTTTGTAGTTAAAGTTGCCATTATGTCAATAAATTCATCGCATATAGTTTTGGATAAATAAGAAGTGTGGCCTCTTCCCTTATTTGCCTTTTTCTCTAAATGATTTTTTAAAAAGGGATCAAATTTTGCAATTAATTCGAGCGTGGCTAAATAATTTCCACATCCTTCTTCTCCTATTTTTTCAAAACTTCCCCCAAATGCTAATCCTTGCTTTGATAAAAACTTCACAGCGGCTATTAACCTTTTTAAAACATTTCGCCAATATTCCTTTTCCGCAAGGTACTGTTTTTCTATTACAATGTCTATTTTGGCAAGAGTTTTTGATCTTAATATATAAGTTTTTGTATTTTCTCTATGCCCTGCTAACTTTTCATGTTCACCAAGTCTTTCCAAATGTTTCCAATTATTAAACCCATCGACAAATAATGTCTGCTTAGTAGATCCGAATAATTTACATTGTAAACAATAAACCATATTAGTTAAGTTAGAATACAATAACCACTCTCTGCGACAATTTCCAACTCGTATAGAGTTGGCGCGCCGCCCAAAAGGGAACGGTCGGCGTGGCGTGCGCCCCCCTTTGGGATTTCGCCCCGGGGCCATGGCCCCAATGGCCCTGTGGTTAATCCGGCCCTGATCTTATGGTTACGTCCATTATGAATGAGCACTTAATTCCGGTTAGTTCCGCACCAAATTTAACACATTAATACATAATTATTGGTTTCAGGTTACCAGAAATATTAAAAAAATTATTTTAGGTCTCTATATCAGTGTTTCTTAACCTGTGGTCCGCGGACCCCTGGGGGTCCGCGAGCATATGTACGGGGGTCCGCCGCAGACTTACCTATGGAGTATGGGCTATTTAACAATAATAAATAAATGCTACCAAAAGTCTCAGGAAATATTAGATCAAGCACTAAAACATTTACTGCTTTTCTCAACGACATACCTCTGTGAAAAGGCATTCTCTTGGCTTGTATATATATATTAAAAACAGATAGAGAAATAGATTACAAGTGGTATCCGATTTGAGATTGCAAATTAGTAGTAACATCAGCCCAAATATCATCAACTTAATTTTGAAGAAGCAGCACCAGCCTTCACATTAGCTTATTTTTTTGTATTTGCAGTTCTAAAATAAATGGTCCGACATGTATTGCTGTTTTTTTATTAAGGGGTCCTTAAACTTGATTTCCTAGGGGTCCGTGGACGGAAAAAGGTTAAGAACCTCTGCTCTAGATAAATAATTTTTAGATCCGCTAGTTTTAAAAATTTTATATTCTTTTTCATTACCACATATTTCAACGGGGCGTGCTTATATTTCGAGCTATGACGCCCATGTTTGACAATGCAATTTTATTCGTGTTAATTTTATGTATTTGGATTATTTTAATTCGAGTTATTATTTGCAAGTTGTATTCATACATTATAATAATTTCAGTATCCAGTGTCAGTTTAATGTCCAGTTTCAGAGAAATAAAAAATAATAAGATTAATAATATGCAGGAAAGAGACGAAGATAGAAAGTAAAGAGTAGTCGTTTAAGTTTTTGCCACTGTACATTCACGTTATAGTAACGAAAACCCAATGTGGTATAAACTTGTCTGTAAACAATTCAAGAACGTTGTTAGAACTAAGTTCCCATTTTAGTTACTTCCAAGTAATAGATCCTTTTCTACCACTAGGCAGAGATTTTGGCAATACACTTTACAGTTCCAAGTATAAGTGGTTGATACTTTTCATCCACTAAAAATGCCACTTGGGGAATGTCAACTTAAGCTAGACATACTTTCTTAAAACTGTCAACCCAATGGAGATAAACAACCCCAAAATTACTTAATCCAAGCTGGATCTGTAAATTTACATTCTTCGTTACTTTTTAATCAAAATATGCAATGTTGGTATCAAAAGTAATAAAATTTTATATTATATTTAAAAAAAAAATTAATTTACCTATAGAAGGCCTATAAACGCACGCCCTTATATCTTTCGCGGTATTTTTCACCACATCTTCAGCTACAGCTTTGGTATAACAGTAAGTGTTAGGCCACTGTCCCAACAAACTAAAAAAATAATGTTTATTATTGAGTTGGCTAATAAAAAAAAATCTAATAAACTTACAATGTCAACATTTTCTCTAGTTCTGGTTTCGAATGTTTTTCAGTCAGTCCTATCAATTGGTCAGAATTTATTGGCGGATCGTAGAATTTTTCTTCCATGTGTTTCTGCGTGCATTGCGAAAAAGCTGTGCTTACGTATACCAGGGAATTTAGGTTTACGCATAGTTTCCCTAGTTTTACTACCTCTTTGGTTCCCTTAACATTTATAGCAACTGCTTGACCTATGAACTCGTCGAATTTTGTAGTGGCTGCTACATGGAAAATCACGTTTATCTAAAAAAAATATGATTTGAACAAAGTATTACCAAAATGGGCTGTGTAGTTCCCGACGAACTTAAAAATGGGAATAGAGAAAGTCAAATTGGAAACAAACAAATTCAATTTGGTACTAATCAACTTCAAATTGGAATTTTCACTAGTAATACCAGAGGTCAAATTATTTCCGGAAATTTTTTCGAGCTCATGAATATTTTGAAAATTATCCCGAGTCGAAGACGAGGGATAATTTTCTAAAAATATTCATGAGGGAGAAAAAATTTCCGGATTTAATTTGACCTCGTGTGGTATTCGGTAAGAAAATTCCACACCAAATTGTGTTTAAATAATTAAAATTTATTTTTTGATTTAACTTGACCTTGACTTGATTATTTAGTTACCATGGCAACTAAGTCAACCCCAACCTAAAAGTTATTTCAGTTTTGAAGCTGTCAAGCGGCACGACGTAAAAAAATGTGAAATTGTCTGCTGTAATGATCAATCATCGTGCAATGACTTATTTACCCGCATTATTAGAGGATTGTGGCTCCTACTTGAAGAAAGAAAATTTGCTTTGAATTGTTCACGAATATTTGCATCTTAACTATTCAAAACTCAAAGTGCTAAATGGAAAAAAAGGTGAATAGAATAGTGTCTAAATATTATATATATTTCATTAGACATAGACATTTAATTTATTTCAAGTCCTGCATTTTCGCCATTAAGAAGAAAGGAGGTGTCCAACGAATATAGAAAACATCTAAACTTTGTAATGGAAATGTATCAAAATTATCATGTAAACAAATAAAAACCAGATTGTCAAAAAAATATTCTGTCATTATAAACGTCAAAAAATTTCCAGTATAATTCGCTGTTGGGTACCCACGAGGAAAAAATTTCCACTAAAATTCAACCGTTGCCATGGTGATCTATCAAAAATACACGTTTTGATTGGTTAAAAATTACAGGTGTGGAATTTTCACTGAAATTGTAATTCAAACTGTCATACGTTTTGCATGTCGAACGGCAGTCACGTTTAAACTTTATATTAACAAATAATTAAAAATATGCTCTGAAACAATATTTTTATTTTTAAAATAAAATACACAGGGTAAAAAAATCTGGACTATAACTGCAACAATTAAATTTTAAAATTTGCTTTATTAAAGTAACAGTTTTTAAAATTTGTGTACCTATATTTTTTAATATAAATTATTTAAAAAACAAAGTGGATAAGGCATGCATAATTTTTTTCATTGGGTTTAGTTTAACATTTTATAAAAGCAGGGATTCTTGCCCCATTTCCAGCAAGGGTGTAGCCAGGATTTTCTTCAGGGGGCAGGCAAGGGTAAACTATATGCATGCTACAAAAAGTTTCGAGACTCCACCTCCCACCCATTTTTTAGTACAATTTTTCTGGACATGCAATTTTTGAGTATAGCTCCCTCCTTTTGATTAAAAAAGTTCATTCTGAAGCCATAATTTATGTATATCAAGCATTAGCTAACATATGTTATCCTCTAGAGTTTGTTTCTTAATTTTTTTATATTCTTGTCACAAATTTTAAATTTTGTTTTCACTCTTAATAAATTCGGCATCATTGCATTTATTTTTAAAACATTTGCCTAAATGCCTAAAAAGGTGTTATTGGTACCTGTACAAGAATAGGTAAGAGATCATTGCCTTTTAGAAACAGGTCTAGTATTCCTATAACTTTAATATAATTATTATAATATAATTAATTAATCTTTTACAAACAAACTTTAAGCCGTAATTTTCGTTTTATACCTTCTAATGCAAATTTACTTATACCAGAACACATTGCAAACTGCGAACATAACCCAATTGTGTATGTTTTATATTGCCGAAATCCTCTTCAAATCAAGTATTTGTCAATAATAAGGTTTAGTCAGTTATAAATGTATATTTAATAATACATTTTAAAAATGTATTACTCTTATGATGTAATAAACACATATTTAAGTATATGTAAGATAACCTACAAATCGTTACTGTCATTTAAAATTTGCTATGTTGCCAAATTGGTTCAAACTTAAATCAGTGGATATATGTAAATCAGGTGATATAAATAAATCAACGTTTCTGCATAAGGCCCTATGGTATTTTTTCAAGCAAATAACGTCATTATTAATCCTAAAATGGTCAATCCGAATTTTGTCCGAAACGATCTGAGACCATGTTAGAAGCTTGCATGCGTTGAGAGAAACACATTCCCCTTTTCCCCCACATGTTTTACAATGGCGGAGAGTCGAGCGGCTTATATTGCTGGACTATCTGTACTGCTTTTCCTATACTGTGCTCAAAATTTGCCGAGTCCTATAGAAGGCCTTCAATTAAGCGAAGCATAAAAAGACACTTCTTAGCTGAATGGCATACAACATCCTAAATTCAAGGCACAATTTTATTTGTTATTATTGAATGTAGAAAGTGGGGTAAGGCAGATGACAGTTATCTTTTTTTATATTGGTCAAAATAGGTTTTTACAACCTTGGAGGTAAAAAAACAAACGATTGGTCTAAATTTACATCCTAGGTGTTTCATTTTTTTAAGATATAGGTAGTATTTGGAATTTGGAATTTTTGCAAAACTCTCTTCTTCCAATATTAGCAGAAATGTTTCCCAATGAGAAAGGAGGTCCCGATCTACCAAGTAATAATACCATTTGGTTTTAACAGGGTGGGCCCCCTCTGCACTATGCGCGTCCTGCCCGTACTGTTTTGGACCTGAGAGGAAGATTGGAAGACGAGGAGCGATGGAGTGGCCAGCGAGATCTCCATATCTCACCCCTCTCGATTATTTCTTATGGGGCTACCTTAAATCAAAGGTCTACATCAAAAGACCACAAAATTTAGAAGACTTCGTGTGAGTGTTATTCAAAACCTTCTCAGAGAATTTACTGTCAAGAAACCAACTGGGCAATTCGAACATTTAATTGGTTAATGTATCCATTAAAAGCATTTCCAAAATAATTTTCATGAATTCATAATTTAATGTCTGCAGATCAAATCAAAATCTCGCAATTCGCTAATTTGGTACTTAGTTTTGCATTTTCACTCTAGAATTATTACTGAAGTACATATTACCTAAAAAGCTGTTTGCTATCAGGCTCCAAGCATTAAATAATAAGACATTATTTTAACAACAAATACATTTAATGTGTTTCAAAAATAAGCCTATTCTAGATGTTAAGGCAACCCGATGTTAACTTAAAGTAATGATGCAGTTAAAAATAACTCAAATAACTTTCAGTATTTCAAATCCACCATGCCTTTATACCAAATGCACGTTTCTTAGGCCATATCCGAACCCGTAACTACTTTACCACAAATGCATAGCGTTTATATTTAATGCTAAGTTTTTTCATTTTATCTTAAGATAAAAAATATTTTAAATCACAAACTTTTAAATTTAATAATACCCAAAATTATCATCCCAAACGTTTTGGGTGAATCTCACGAAATGTCCCCATATGGTGTTACACCATGATATTTAATAAAACTAAATGAGTTTGACCTACACTTTTATTGTGTTTTGATCTTTCATAATTAAGTAGATATTACAGCTTAGGTTTCAGATTTTTAACCGCAATTAATTATTTTTTACAATGTTTTAAAAGTCTAAAACCTATTCTCCGTGACTGTTACTCTTTGTAGGTTAACCTATATGTTTTGAAAGATCTGAGGTAGTAAAAGCATACTAAAAATATCAGTTCACTAAGTAAATTAAACACATCCGAAGCAATCGAATCAAATATAAAATTTTATTAAAAATCAAAAGAAATAATTTTTATAACCATTTATGTAGGTGTTACAAAAATTTATGGAGCTTTAATCATTTTAAATAAGCAAAAACCTCTGTTTACGACATTATAGATGCATGTGATTCCTGAAGGTCAGTTAGAATTTATATGCAGATGAGAGTTTTGCTGTTTTATAATTCAAAAGTTTAAGTTCATTAATTTGCTATTTAAAAACCTATCTACCGTAAAGTGTAATATCTCAGTATGGGGTCATTCATTAATTACGTGAGGCAATTTTGGTGATTTTTTGACTCCCCCTCTCCCCTTGGTGAGATGTCGTGAGATTTTGCTCGACTCCCTCCCCCCTCCCCTAATCTCACGTGAGATTTTTTAAAATGCATGATTTTAATGTAAATGAGTTAATCTGTGATTGATTCCATTAGATTTATTTAAAAAAACAATTTGCTTATAATTGTTTACTTAATTTAACCCAGTTTTCTCGCAATTTTACACTGTTTCATTCGAAAAGAAAAAATTACGTGATATTTGCCAAAACCCCTCCCCCCATAAACACCTCACGTAATTAATGGATGCCCCCTAAGTATTTGTTTATAAATATTTTATGAATGTACAATTGCATTTTTAAAAAATATTAAGGTGTCAAAAGATACAATAACTTATTTCAAATATACAAAGGGAAGTTTAAAAAAAAACATACGAAATCTAACCTCCGTGAAGCTATCTTCCGTGAAGCTCTAATATTCAAAATGTATGATTTCTTAAAATTCTTGCATAAGTGCAGAACCACTTATGTTATGTTATTACTACTAGTAATTTACTAGAGCTGGTGGCTTCCCAAAAACCCCATTCTAGACTAAAATGTTCACTGCAGTGAAACAACCAAAAAATAAAAAATAATCATTTTCACTTGGGGGACATATATATTCACCCTTATACGTATATGCATATTGCTAAATTCAGAATTTCATAATCTATTCGAATCTGCAAAAAAAGAGGGGATACAATTTAAAAAAACGGCCGATGACGTGATAGCTTCTACAAAAATGGCGGCAGATTAAAAAAATTTACATCAATATGTGCAGAATTAAAAAAACATTGTTCAAGGAATTTTTTTGGGGAAAAAGTTACATTTTTTAATAAATTTATTCCATACTTTTGCCGCTCACTGTATATAATTAAATTATTTGTAGGATGTATGTATGTATATGTATTTTATGTTCAACTTAACCGCAAAATAAACGTTTTGAGGTCACACACGCTCGTTTTTTTTTTTCAAATCTCCAGTTGGTCAACATCGACCAATAACGGCAATTTTGAAATATAATTATAAAAACACCCTGTATAAATTTAGCAACAGTTATTATGGTTTTTAATAAAAATAATGTACGTACTTTGTAAATAAATTTAATGATAATGCATTTTATTATAAGTACAGAATTTATGATTTAATTATATAATTATATTTTTTATTTAAGTAAGTAGTAAGCACTATTAAACATTAATGTTATTAATGACGCTTCTATTTTAATGATTAAGTTAATCGTAAAAAAAATACAGCTATATTAAATGAATTAGAAATATGTAATTTGATATTGTGATGATGTAATTTAATTATTTATTATTAACCATTATTTTACAGTTTGCCTAATGTGTTCTAGGTAGGCAATTTAAAATAATGGGAAAGTATCTATTTAATTTTAATTTTAAATATTATGCGATAAAAACAGTAAAGAATTTTTTAATTTATTAATAATTGGTAATTTAATTTTGAAACAAACAATTGTCCAATAAATATTGGAGAAATCAGATTACTTCACTCAAATTTTTTTAGTATGTATGGTTGTTTTTAGTGAATAATCTCTATAATTATAAATAAATAAATAAAATAATATCTATAATTATTAATAAAAGTAGTTTCACACTTACTTTCGACATCATGTCCCAATCCCAAGATTGAAATTTTAATAGACTTATTGGGCAAAAAGTTTGGTATAGTGTGATTTGAAAACATTGGATTACTTTTTTTTTGGGTTAAAGTAACCACTATAAATTTGTATCCCGAACATTTAACAGTCAATTCCTATGTAAAATTGTGCGCTGAACCCGAAAATACCGTCGAAAGTTATAAAAGTAGAGCGATTTTTAAACCGCTGGTTCCATATTATATGAAAATATGACTATATCTCAAAAACTATAGTTTTTGTATACATTTTTATATTCAACAGGCAATTTTACATATAAAATAAGTGCTAAATGTCCAAGATACAAATTATTAGTGGCTACTTTTTCTTTATGACAAATAGTCATTTTTGACTAATTCATTTTAAGAGAGCAAGTCTAGTTTATATAATAAAAAAATGCTACCCAACTTACTTTATTACTTAAAAATTTTCTATCCCTTTCACTCATCCCAAGTTCTGGAAAACTAATATCCCCCTGTATTCCATGCACTTTCTCCCTATACTTTGGAAAAATATCTTGTAGGGGAAAATACACCTTAAAAGAAAAGAAAACAATTAATAAAATATAAAAGAAAAATACAACATTATGATGCATCAAAAATATAAACTCGTATAACCTTAGTCACATGTGCATATTTACATAAAAAAAGTGCCAAGTAGGTATTGTTTCAAAAATAAATCACTGCGTTACGCAAGCGGAACCTAAACGGTTTAATAAATTACTAATATGAATACATTTTCATTAATTTTGGGCGTTTCCTTGTTTGCTAAAATTAAAAAGTTTAAAAGAATGTGTCTAAGAAAAACGTAATATTTTTTGTTAATTTATATTGTTACAACACGCTATAGAAGTAAAACTTTTCGGCAGTATTTACGATAATACAGTCAAAGGGGTTAGGAAATTGGATAAATTTTTTGAAGTATACTTAGTAAAAATATTTTTTAATTTTAACCAAATATTAACCAGATTTTATGTTAATCCAGGTCCACATAAGTTTAAGTTAAGTTTACAGCCAATCTGTTTACTAATTGAATAAGTAGTTAGAACAGAAATGCTATGTCAACAATTTAACCATAATTATTGAAATTTTTAAAAAGGACCTTATTTTTATAAACATTTTTGTAGACCCCGTAACAAAAGTATTTGTTGGATATTGGGTACTTAAATGAAAAAAAAAATTGATGAGAAATGTTGCTTTAATAATCAATTTTTTTAACAAAAAAATTATCAGTGATATTTAGTGATAATTTATCACATACTTACATAAATGAACACAAAAATAACATACACATAGTTAAATAACACACCATTCTCTCCAACAGTACTACTACAACACTTGAATGAATATTTCGTAACTTTAACCCAAACTGTATCCCCCACAGACAAAATAGACTTGCCTTAGGGAGAAAATGATACGGCCGGGCGGGTGCCTGAACGGGTGCCTGTTTTCCAGTTCGCATCATTTATATTTGAGCAGTTGACCTGTGAGGATATATTATTTATGTAAAATTCTTTGAACATTATGGGTAAATGTGTTGTCAAAGTGTGTCCTAGTCGTAGTGAAACTAGTTCCAGCCAATTTCAACCAATTTCCTTTTTTCAGTAAGTAGTAATTACGAGATAAATTTTAAGCGATTTTATTAATTTTGCATGTCAATACCTTGCGTGCGCACACAGATGTTGTATTGTTCTCTCCTGTGCACAGAGCCGTACTTCGTTTATTCTGGAGCGTAAAACTAGATGAATTTCTTTAATAATCCACTAGGAATATTTTAAATTAGATACCGCTCGTACGAAATTATTTATTACGGGCCTGGCAGAATACATATCTTCTCTTATATAATATATAATATAATGTATACATTCCCTTGCCCCCCTTCCCCGATTTATGGCACGCTGGTTTCATGTTAGCGATACTGAACAGGGCAAGTCTATTTTGTCTGTGGTATCCCCTAATTTCAGTTTGAAAACCAGTGGCAGTGATGGCATCTTTTTTCGGATACTTCGCACTTCGCACACTCGTTAAATAGGTATAAGGAATCCGAATAACAAGAATAACAGATTTCTGGTAATATATTATAAACACTCAGGACAGTTATTACGAACACGTTACGAATTAGAATAAAGTAAGCAGAAACATGAGTTGCAGACGCTGAAGTCAGGTAAACTTGAAGATGCGTATTGTTGTACTAAAGCTGGATATTTAACGATAAAAAAGTCAGTGGAAATGTTTTGATTGGCTGCCTAAAATCACGTGTACTTTTTAACCAAATAATTTGTTAAACATTAACAAAATACTCTGTAACCTTTGAAACTAACAAAATGCTTACAAAATTGCATATTACCTTTGCTAAAATTTTCCTTTGTTAAAATAATAATAATTGGTTTTCTACAAAAATTATGTTAAAAAAAAAACTACAAACTCATATCTGATTTTTATGACAGTGTAATATTCAACACCATCTTTTGAATATCTTATTTAAATTTATTATCATTCTGTACTTTGGTCAGATTTACACTTCAAACAATATGCTTATAATAACTTAAGTTTAAAATAATTTTACATTATCTAAAAGACGGAAAAGCGCACATTTGGAGTACAAACAGGCCTAACTAATAAAAAATATAGACGTTGCAAAATATGTGTACCTTAGATCTATAGATAATAACAAAAACAATTATTGTAAGTAAAAATTAATTAACATTTGTTTCAAGTTTTGTTGTGAAATACAGAATTAATCATAATATGATTACTAAATCATATCATATTAAAAAATTCCATCATTCTTAGGGTTGCAACTTTTCATGAAAAGTTGAAATTTTTGAAAAGTTGTGTTTTATTTTTCGGAAAAGTTCGGAAAAGTTGGAAAAGATGGAAAAGTTGAGTTTTTTGTAATGTAAACGTATAAAACATAAATAATGCTTGTCAATATATTAAAATAATTAATTTCTTATGTATTTATACATACGTAACAAGTTGTTTTATAACAAAATAACAAAAAAAAAACAACAAACAAAGTAAAATGAACAGACAACATAATCACAACAAAAATAAACTAGGTTTAAGTTAAAAAAAATCATATTTTTTAAGTAAAAAAGAATAGAAATTTATACACACCTTAAAAAAACACATACGAAATAAAAAATAATTACAAAAAAATATGAAACAAAAATTATTAAATTTATTATTGTTAAAAATTTAAAACGAAAAAGAAAAGGACACTTTCTTCTTTTCCACTATTATATTATTTGCAAATTTCCATAATTAAAAAAACATATTATTTTTTTCATACTGTGTATAAATTTAAAATACGTATAATAAAACAATCTATCTATCTATCTAATAAATAATCTTTATCTAATAGAAAATGCTGTTAGCAGACACCATTTTTGATAAAGTTTGACAGAATGATATTCCAAAAAACAATGATTTTAGCACGTTTTACTAAAAACACTTCAAATCTAGCGATTTATATCGAATTTTGACCAAATTATCTACGGAAAAAAATGTATGGTAGTGAAAACACTGGTTAGAAGTCAAGTCATTGTTCATTGACTCCCACTCAATAACTTTTCCAACTTTTCCAACTTTTCATAGGGGGTGCCGAACTTTTACAACTTTTCTAACAACTTTTCCAACTTTTCGACCGAACTTTTCCTTGTTTGCAACACTAATCATTCTACATAGTGGTTAATTTTTATTGTAGTTGTACCACGCATATTTTGATATAAAATTTTGTAAGCCAATTAAAAAAAATAAAAGTACATTAAATTAAATTATTGTGATTAAAGTTTTTTTAATACTATTTGAAAGAAATATAATTTTTGCGGAGTCGTCCTTACGAATAAGATTATATGGTTTTGGGTCCAGGCATATTTATTATTCTTCGTTGCAGCAGTTACAATTTTTTGTAAAAAAAAATGTATTTGCACTTGTTAGATGTTCGTTAAAATAAAAGGAATTAGCAATACCTTCTATTCTTAAGCCGTTTTTAAATCCACCTTGACGCTCCTCGTGGCCTTTTGTTTTCGATGCACTAAGGAGTTTATCCTTTTTTCATCTGGATATATATTTTATAAGTATGGAACGGATTTTAGGCAAAATGCCTTTTTGTTTTTATTTGAAATTAATCCCAAACATAAAAAAATAAAGCGTTTGACACCCCTTTGTTTTTGCCTAAAAGCATAAAATGGCAAAATTTTGATTTATTGTCCTAAGAGGACATTTTTATGAGCCTAAAATAGGCTCTTTAAATTTTTCAGTAAAAAATATATTTTTCATTGCGGAAAAGTAAATTATTTTTAATTAGACCCTGCTTTCTTGGCGAGTACGAGGACCACAAATTACAAAACTAGTGAAAACCTAATAAAAAAGTAATTGTGTTTTTGCTATCTAAATATTTATTATAAATAATTATGGATAATATTTTAAGTATGTAAAATAATGGTTAATAGTTATTTATGTCATTAGGTTAAGAAGTAAGGCTTTTTGTGCTAAGCTCAAAGTTTGAAGGTCGACGCGTAGCGGAGAAGACACTTCTTGGCCGAATGGCATACAACATTTTATCTTCAAAGCACTTATATAAGTCAATTTAATTTAACATGAAAGCGGCCTAACCTCACTTTTTTAGAATCTCATTTATTTATTAGCTAAAGATTACATTAAATGTACAATAATTATTATTTCTTTTAGAAGCAGTAATAGTTTGACAATACCTAGCTACATGATTTAAGTAGAAATGGATTTTTGTAAGAAAATGGTTTACTTACCCTCTTGCTATTACATTGAATTCAATTAATTGTTTAATAAATAGGTATCTAATTTCAATTTGTTTGCATTTTTATTAAAAAAATAGGTAGTTTGGAATGTTTACGCTGTTTTTAACATTTAATTTCACTGAAAACTTAAAGCAAATTAAAACTTAAAGATAATTTAAATCGTAGAAAAAGAAAACACAACTGTGAAATCCACAGAAACGTCAAATTGCAATGTCCTAACCTCACTTTTTGTTTTATTATTCATATTTAATTTTACAATAATTTAATGAAAAATGATAAACATTAACAGTAAAACAAACAAATTATTGCTAATTATAAATAAATTAAACCAGTTTAGTACGTTAATTTCTTAGAAAAGGATTAATTTGTCAAAACAATACCCCTAGCGAGAAAAAATCGAACTAATTATTAATTTATCGGCCTAGGCCATAACAAGTTATTTCTTTATCGAATGTTGACAACAATAAAGTTTAAATTATAGACCGCGTGGAGATAAAAAATATTATTTACTTTGTTTTCATAGGTTTTACTGTAATTTCCATATATGTATATGGTAATTTCAAAATTTTTAACAGTTTTTAGTAAAATAATTTGTCGCCATCTATGGCATAATTAAATAACCCTCCACAATTTACAGGAATCAACGTATCGTGCTTTTGTTTATATTTTATTTTATATATACAGGGACCCTGTAACAGGGTGAATCAGACCGAACTCTAGGACTGAAGTTGTACACATTAAAATAATTAAAAATAATTAAAAAAAACTCAAATGTTCTTATTCGATTCTCCTTTGTTTTGAAGTTATAGCGTAATTAAAAAATAAATAAAATGAAACCGTAACATTTGTTTAATAGTTATGACTTTTTATAAGGTGTTTAAAAATACCCCCATGTTTAGAACTCAATGCATTGAGTTCTAAACATGCTCTGCTACGTCTGCGAACAGCGCCTGTTGCTTGTCCTATTAACTCTTGTTTTTCTTTAAGAACTGCGCCAGTATTAATTATTCGTTGAATTAGTGCCTCTCGATTATTCACTTTAACTTTGTAAACTTCTGTTTTAAACCAACCCCATAAACAAAAATCTAGTGGTGTTAGATCTGGACTTCTTGGAGGCTAACTTATTGGACCTCCGCGACCAATCCAACGCTCAAGTGATGCTTAACCTCACGAGCGAATTTAATTTTTTTTTAAATTTCGCTATAACTTGAAAACAAATAAGAATCGGATAAGAACAGTTGAGATTTTTTATTATTTTGATGTGTAGAATGCAGTCCTAGAGTTTAGTGCGATCCTTCCGATTCACCCTGTATGTATATATATATATATATATATATATATATATATATATATATATATATTGGCAAAAGATTTGCTTAAAATTTAATAAGGTTTTCCTTTTCTTTATTTATACGGGCAAATGTTTGCAAGAGTTTTATTTTTATTATATATTTTATATTAAGAGAGACATATGTTTTATGTTTTATTTTTATTGATAGGACCTAAATAAATGTTATGTTTAATCGTGTTGTTTTTATTTCATATAGTCTATTTTAGGCGGTTGCCTATATTAGGCACTTTCGGCCTAAAACGGCCTAAAATGTAGGTCTTTGTTTATAACTATATTTTTTACCTAATCTTTAACGACAGAAGGAATTCTAGCAATATAGTCTATTTCGTTCTCGCTAATTGGACAATTAGTTTAGTTTCCAATCCTTTCCAAAATACGAGACAGGTTTTCATTATCTTTTTTCCTGTAAATTTTTTTATTGCAATATTATTTCATCGGGAGTATTGCCCTAAACCATTAATTTTCTGTTTTAAATTAACAATTTCGGTTTTTAGTAAAATCTGAACACAGATTTACATAATATACATGTTAATAGTATTCACCCTTATTTTTTCAAACATTTCTTTAAAATGACGCTTCGTTTTATAAATTTGCGCTGCGGGTTCCCAAGAAATTTTTTGATAAGTACTTACGTATTATCTTATTAACTGTTGAAAATGTCGGACCTCAATTCAATAGTACAGCAAGTGTTCAAAGTGTTTCCGGACATTGTGAAGAATATCGAGTGTAATTTGTTGGCATTCATTAGGGCGGTTCCGTAAATATTCCAAGGATTCAGGCTGGGTGGCATAAATTTTGTATTTTATGTCCCCACAAAAATGAATCAAGGGGAGATAAATCGGGTGATCTCGCGGGCCATTCGATAGCACCCCATTTTTCAATCCATCTACCAGGAAACGTTTCATCCAGAAACTGCTGTGCAGGTAATGCATGAAGAGAATGAGCCCCGTCTTGCATCATGGAAACGTTGGTCGTAGCTCCATTTAAATTTCCCGGTAAGAAAATGATCCAATTAAAAGATCACCAAAAATACTGGTCGAAACGTTTCATTTCTAAGGTAACAAAGTATGAACCTTATGAAAGATCCTTGGATTCGTGTCGGACCAATAACGATAATTATGACGATTGTAAACGGCGGTCATTATCATGATGCATCTTCTTGCAATTTTTGAAGAAGTTGAATTTTATATGGGTGCCATTTATTATGTTTCAGAATGTAAGGTGGCCCGCAAAACTCCCGTTACATCAGAAAGTTTTCTGGTACTTAATGTGGAGTCCAAAGTAATTCCACCCGGAACAGCTACTTCTACTGCCTCATTTATCACTGGATTTTCAATATCTCGTTTTTTATTTGCCACTGAACCAGTTTGCCGAAATTTTGCTACTATTTCTAGTATGTAACGTGTGTATTTACATGCCTCTCATTAAACAAAGTTGCCGTTACTCTTGCACATTCATTTTGTATAAAATACAATTCAAAATTTCCACTCTCTCCGCAATAATTTTTTATTGAATTAAAAGAAAATAAAAGCATAGAAATAACGAACAATCCATATCAAACTACTTTAATGAAGATAACTACTTTAATGAAGATAAAGTCGATTTGACAACTGATATTTGTTAGTTTAAAAAAAAATTCAACGAATTTTTTGCTTTACGAAATTTGTTGTAAATTTAAAAAATGAAGTTAAGTGATGAAATTAATGTGTAAATATGCTCCCTGAAAACAAAAGTATACGTGTCCGAACATTTTTTTTTTATTTTCACATACAAAGCCATAAACCTTGCTGAAATGTTTTTAATGGGCCACCCTTTATAAGTACATACATTTATTTGTTTTCAAAAAATGGATTTCTATTGTAAGAAATGGCCAAATACCTCGTCACCGAGCTTTTGTTTTAAGCATGCTACATGCTACACAAACAGGTACCGACAGACAACCTGTTTCGGTTCTAGTAGACCTCATAAGTGCCGGATAGCCGTCTTGTGTAAGCACAAAAACAGCGACAGCGGTGAGAGGTAATCAGCCACCGTCTACCATCCAAATCTACAGTTATGTCAAATTTTAAATATTTGTATCCATTATTACCAAAGTTATGTAAAGTTTAATTTAAAAAATAGCGAATATGAGAAAAACCATTGAAAACTTTTGGCCCAGGTTAATATTAATATTAGGAACTGAAATTTGGCAGAATTTTTTTAATTTATTTTAAATCGATTTAGTCAAAAAAACGAACGTACACAAATATACATATTCCAAAATTTAACCATTGTAACATTAATAAAAAAAATTGTCGAGTTAAAATCCAGTAATTTAAGTTAAATTATTATAAGATTCTATATTCAAATCAATTAATAAACCTTTTGAAAATGCTGACTAGTAAATTCACAGACTTATGAGGATCCGAATTCTCTTTTTAATCTTTAAGAACATTTTTATTTTGGATTCTATCTATTTTTATACAGTGTGTTTTGACGCACTAATGCAATACCAAGCGTTTTGATAACACTTTAAAAGTTAGAACTTGTATGCCCCTTTAATTATAATTATTATAGATAATTATCTATTCACAAATTTATTTCATTTTTTTAACTAATAATAATTGAAGAATTAATTCACTGTTTTCGACCTCCAGTCAATAGGCAGCTAGATTTTCTCAATTGTATAAATATTCATTGTGACCTTGTCTTGTAAATTTATTGGTATTATAATATATAAATATCATCATTGTAATGCACAAGTAAATAGAAAAACCACAGGTTAGTAATTATTTTTAAAGGACTATTAACAATTTTGTTACACGTAGGTTAAACAAAAAGATTTATTTATAGAATAATTATGTTAAAAAATACTTACAGGGTCTTTAAAGATGTCATCGACGCGTTCTTCCATTGTTTTTCCTTTTTTCGGCCGTACTAACACATAAATACTATTTAGGTTCGGGCAGGCCCTTAGTAGTTTTTCTAGTAACAATTTTCCTAGGAATCCAGTGGCTCCGGTGATAAAAATATTTTTGTCTTTGAAAAATTCGATTATTTTTGAGTTGTGAGGATTCACCCTCACGTCATTTTTGCGTAAAAATAATTTAACAGCCTCACATTCGTTTTCCAGATTCGCGACTTTACACTTTTCTTTGAATTCATCATAAGTATCATACTTATCCATTTTGTTTTAATATTTTTGATCACTATATAATATATATTATTATTACCAATAATTACTTATACTTATTAAAGTTAGTATCGCTTACGAGGTTAGATTTAAACTAAACTAAATTAAATCTAACACAACTAAAATTATGCGCGATTTAAAATTAAACAGGGTGGGGAGCGTACATTAAATATTTAAAACAGGTGAAATTCATTTACTTACCTGTTTTTTAAATTACTATTAAATTAGTTTTTAATAAAATCTAAAATAAAATTAGTGAGTCTATCACACACTGTCTATGCATTTCCTTATAATTTTAGTTTAGACGTTTATATGATAGTTTAAAACATTTTTTTTAAATATTTTAACCTTTTTAAATTTAGTACTCATTGCTATAATTTTGGAAAAAGTTACTTTATTTAATTTGTAATTTAATACGAACCAGGCCCGTCCCTAGGTTTTGCGGGGCTTGTGACAAAGATTTTAGACGGGGCCCTGTTGTATTTATTTCAAACATAAAAACGAGAATTCACTTGATTATATGCAAATTAGTAGAATTAGATTAGAAGGCTCTTCCCAATCAGCATTTTAAGAAAAATAGTCGAGCTTTGCGGATTTATTTCTTAATTTAAGTAAAGTAAAAAAACTTGTCAAGTACTTACATAAAGTTTCATAACTCTGAAGTATTATAATGATATTTATTTAACATAATTTTTACGAAAGAAAATAGGTTATTTTATTTTAAAATATTTTTAGTGGTAAATTTAAGGTAAATTTAAGGTAAATACATGTATTTTCACTCTAAACTAAATTTTACTTATAAGTCATATTTTTCAAATAATAAAATTCCTTTATAACCGTAATTTTTTAGGATTTTACATAATTATGTAATATTTTAATATTTTTAAATTATACTTTATATGTTTATTGCGACTAGTTTCGGTCTATGTAAACCATCTTCAGGCAAAATGGTCAATGTTAAAATATTGGTTAAAATTCGTATTTTATAAAATCCTTCTATGTCTATTGCAATACTCTATGTCAAATACGAATTTGAACTCATATTTTAACAAATATATAATAAGTTCATTAATTTAGTACCTGGATACTTAGTATAAATTTAGCCGCCCTTTGAAGTTTAATTGTATTTTAATTGAAGCAAAAGGGTACAAGTGCAAAAAATCAATGTTTGCATTAAGCAAGATGCAGAACACGTACAATTTTCACGTTATAAATTAAAAAAAAAATGGACTCTAAACTACCTGCACTTGTACCCTTTTGCTTCTTACCACTTCAATTCAAATTGAATCAATGGGGTAGTTAAATTTTTTCTGACCTATATAACCTAATAAAATGTAATGTAAAAGTGGCAAAATAAAGCTGAAAATGAATGAAATAAATTTACAAAAAATAACAGTAAATGTAAGTTAACAATGGTATTTATGATATTTGTGTATAGTTTTTATAAAACTTGCATCCCTGATGATGAGCATCAAAACCTTTTGTAAGATTAAAAAAATGTATGACACCAAATTCATTAAGTACCTATCTTCCTTATTACAAGGTATCATATTACTGTTTGATATTTTAGAGTCCAAGATATATCTAAAAGAATATAAAGAACTAGGCATTATACTAATGAAATGCATTTACGACAAAATATGATTATAATTATAGGTATTTACTTTATTTGTTTAAAAGCTCCAATGTTCAATGTAACCAACCATTCCACAAGATTCCTCTGCTTTGGAGTCCGTTATTAATAAATCACTTATCTAATATCAATTACAAATAACATAACAATAAGATTTATTTTCAATAATCTAAATTTAAAAAAAACATAACCCAAAAGAAACGTCAAAAAATCAATTCTTCTTCTTCTTCTCAACTAAAATTATAGATCAAGTGGTTTTAAAACTAAAATATTATAACGTGGTGCCATCTATCGTAAGAATCTTAAACTAAACACACTGGCAACCATAGAAAAAGCTGGCAACGTTGTCAATAGCCTAGTGACGTAATTAGGAGATTTTTATTTGTAAATATCTCGAAAACGGTAAAATCAATTGAAATTCCGATTTCACAGAAATGTTTAAAATTACAAAACGCCTTGAATAAAACCATAAAAAGTATAGGTCAGAAAAAATTTAACTACCCCATTGTATTGTTTTCTTAAAAACAAAACATAAATAAATAAAAGGTACTAGCCTCATAATCAACAATTTCCAGGTCACTGTTAAAAGTACCAAACTCAAAATAAATAAATTAGTTAAGAACTTTAATAAATTATTATTATTTTTCAGATAATACAAAAATATATATTTTTTAAGATATTTCAACATCTTGTATCTCGTTTAGCTGGCATTTTTGGACATTGTTACGTTGATTAGGACTTTTCGGATTATTTTTACGTATTCTATTTACTTCTGAAGTTTGTTCCACTCGTCCTAGATTACTGGCCAATCCAATTTAATTTGGTAAAAAAAATATTTTTATTTTTTAACCTGTGTTAACACTATCCTTATAAATTTAAAAAGCTGTATTAATTAATTTTTTAAATGTTCAGTTTAGTTTAATTAGGAGTAGCTATATTACCAAAAATCCTCGGTTAAAGTATTTGATTAATAAAATAAACAACTAATTTTATTTTGTCTACCACTGTTATACAGGGTATTTAAACACCCGTTAATTTTTTTTCTGCTGTCCATGACTTTTTTAGCTATATATAAAAATGTCTTACTAAAAAACTAATGAAAACTCAGTGAAGACATTTTAACCACTTAAAAAAACAATAAAATAATGTTTTCTAAAAATGTTGGATTTTTAAAGTGTGTTCCTTATGAGATATTTTAGATTAAAATACCCGATTTTAGACAACACGCAATATTTGAATACTAATTTAAAAAAATACAACTCTAAGGCCTAAAACTTTTTAAGGAAGACTACTATGAAGCAGTGGCGGCTGGTGGATTTTATGTATACCAATATCTCAGTTATTAGACATGGGACCCACACCAAATTTATAATAGTTTATAATGACATTAAATAAACAAGTTCGGCGCAAACAGAATTTAAATTTAACTTTGCGAAAAAAGTTAGTTTTTCCTGTCGCCTCACCCGCCTCCAGGCTCCCCTATTTGAGAAAATTCAAATTAAAGTGGTGCAATTTATTATCTACTATAATTTATCGACAAATTTAAAATTTTATTTAAAAAATCCAAATATTACAGGTTTTATACCATTTTAAATATTTTTTTATTTTAATAAAATAAATAATAAAAATTTAAAATCGAATAAAATCTGTAATATTAAGATTTTTTAAATAAAATTTTAAATTTGTCGATAAATTATAGTGGATAATAAATTGCACCACTTTAATTTGAATTACCTTAAATAGGGGAGCCTGGAGGCGGGTGAGGCGACAGGAAAAACTAACTTTAAAAATATTTAAAATGGTATAAAACCTGTAATATAGGGATTTTTTAAATAAAATTTTAAATTTATCGATAAATTATAGTAGATAATAAATTGCACCACTTTAATTTGAATTATCTCAAATAGGGGAGCCTGGAGGCGGGTGAGGCGACAGGAAAAACTAACTTTTTTTCGCAAAGTTCAATTTAAATTCTGTTTGCGCCGAACTTGTTTATTTAATGTCATTATAAACTATTATAAATTTGGTGTGGGTCCCATGTCTAATAACTGAGATATTGGTATACCCAAAATCCACCAGCCGCCACTGCTATGAAGATTATATCCAGAAAAAAGGGTGAGTATTTTTTATCTTAATATTTAGTATTAAAAAAAAGGTTTATGCTACAGCGTTTAGAGTTTTAACGCAAACTTCTGTAAAATAAAAAAATAGTCTAACCCACCAATACAAAGTGAACGCTATCAAAAAACTAAACGTATACAAAATTAATTTTTAACCCTCTGCCTATAGTACAAGTAAAAAAATTAAAAAATCAGCAACCATTGGTTTAATATGAATTAATTTTATTGGTATACTTAAAATAGTAATTAATTTTTTCGGTTAATTTTGTTATTACCACTTTCCAGTCAATAAATAGTTGTAAAACAGCTATATAAATATATAATTTTAAAACTATCCCCAATTTACTGGATTTCTTAGTAACTATTCTCAAAACAATTATTTCCGTGTAATTTAAACAAATATCTATTAAATAGATATTAGTGAATTTACAATTAACAAATTTAAGTTAGGGATAAGTATTAAAAGGTATTTTTAAAACCTTTTAATTTAAATTCTTATTAATTGTTTTTAAAAATACCTACCTTTATATGTTTACGATTTTAACAAAAAGATTTTATTTAATGAAAAAAGGCTTTGCAATGTTTAGACCACCTATACGTGGTATACCTATAAAATATTTGACTTTATTAATGTATTTTATACAAAAGTATACAATTTATACTATACATATTAATGTATGCAATTCACAGAAAAAAACTATTGTTATAATAGTAATGTTTGTGTTTGTAAAATTGAACAATGAAGAAATTTTAATACCTCTGGAATATTAAGTGGTAATCCATATTTATGTGTTTTTCTGCTTAAGTTGTTATGTTTTGCTAAAATATTTTTTTATTTATCATTTTTTATAATAATTTAAAAAACGACCAAAGCGCCCTTATTTGGAATCTAGGGCCTTAATTTAGAATATCTAGAGAGTCCCATTTAGAACAACTTTTGAAAGACGAAAGGAGGCCTAAAAGTTGCAATTTAGCACCTCTTCAGCCTCAATTTAGTATATCTAGATAGTCCCCTTTAGAAAAACGTTTAAAAGACGAAAACGCATAAAAGTTGCAATTTAGCACCTCTTGACGAATTTTTTTTTTTTTTTGAAAATTTTATTGGGACACCCTTTAGCTAAGACAGGAAAAAGACAGCACAACATTTAAGCTATAGCTTAGGTCACATCCAAATAAGCCACAACTTACAATACCTATACAAAATATGTAAAATGAATTAAGTACCTACCTACATTCTTTACCTATTTTTAACTTTTAATTTTAAGCAAAAAACCAATATGTTAAATTTATAAATTAAAATTGTGTTTTAATACCTTTGATGAATAACTACTCCAATGAATATTAA